CTCCCTCCCTCTCTCTCTCTCTCTTTCTCTCCATCTCTCTCTCTTTCTTTCTTTCTCTCCATCTTTCTCTCTCTCTCTCTCCCCTCTCTCTCTCCGTCTCCCTCTTCCTCTCCCCCTCTCCCTCCCTCTCTCTCACTCTCTCACTCTCACACTCATTCTCTCTCACCCTGGAATCGCTTGTGCGCATTTTTTTCCAGGCTTGGCCGGAAATCTGTTCCTAAGGAAAAGCCGGAGCGGAGCAGAAAACCTTTGGTGTGTTTGTCCTATCTTATAAAATGGGTGAGAAGTTGGCCGGCTTTTTTGGTGTTTCCTTGTTGCATCAGCTCCGCTCTCCATGGGAGGGTCAACTTGGACCCTGCTCAAGGAAGAGAAGGGGTGGGTGCTTCCTTTCCCCCACACACACACACTCGCCCCCCCCCCTCCCAGTTCCAGCTCCTGGGAAGAATTCCCACAGGATAGAAGCCAGCCGTGTGAGCAACACAAACACCTGCCACATATGAGTTGTCTCACCAAGGTGCAAAGGAATTGCGGGCCTCAACAACTTCAAAGCTTTGGAAAGAGGCTGTTGGATATAGGGGGGGTGTCTCTGAGATCCCCCCAGCCCTTTTTAGTGGGGGGGGGTAGCCCTGTTTGAAATGAGGGGGGGGATTAACTGAGGAGGAGGAAGAGGAGGAGGGGAAGAGGAAGCTGGATATGCTGAAGATGAGATCACCTTTATTGTCATTTTTTACCGTGGGCACAACGACACACATCAAAAGTGAATTTTACTTGAACCTCTTTGCAGTGCACTGAACAGCTGCAGTGATCCTAGAATTGGGCGCAATCTACTTAACAACCTCGCCTTACTTAGCAACGGAAATTCTGTTTATGGTTATAAGTTGAAGACTAAAACTTTGCTTCCTTGTCCACATTAAATTCTTCTTCTTCTTCTTCTTCTTCTTCTTCTTCTTCTTCTTCTTCTTCTTCTTCTTCTTCTTCTTCTTCTTCTTCTTCTTCTTCCTTCTTCCTTCTTCCTTCTTCCTCCTTCTTCCTTCTTCCTTCTTCCTTCTTTCTTCTTTCTTCTTCTTTCTTCTTTCTTCTTTCTTCTTTCTTCTTCTTTCTTCTTTCTTCTTTCTTCTTTCTTCTTTCTTCTTTCTTCTTCTTTTTTTTTTTTACTTGTGCGGCTGAACACTTTGAAAACTGTGATCTAGGCATCTTAAAAAGTTTGCCAAAATTTTGTATCCCGCTTTCATGTTTTGTAAACGACTCGAGGTGACGAACATCATCTTGACACGTCTCCTGTTTTCCCCACAACCACAACCTGTGAAGTGGGTTGGGAGAAGGACTAGCCCGAGGTCACCCAGCCTCCTTCCGTTCCTAAAATGGGGACTAGAACTCCCTGTCTCCTGGTGATTGGCCCAAAGTCGCCCAGCTGGCTGTCAGGCCTAAGGCGGAACTAGAACTCACATCTCCTGGTGATTGGCCCAAGGTCACCCTGCTGTCTTTCAGGCCTAAGGCAGAACTAGAACTCACATCTCCTGGTAATCGGCCCACAGTCCCCCAGCTGTCTTTCAAGCCTAAGCTGGAACTAGAACTCACATCTCCTGGTGATTGGCCCAAAGTCCCCCAGTCGGCTTTCAGGCGTAAGGCAGAACTAGAACTCACATCTCCTGGTGAT